ACTAAAAATACACTGCTTGAGAAACTAAGAGTGAAGCTGTAGCTTCATGAAGTCATCAAGGAAGGGAAGAAACTGGATTTAAGTAAAGAAATTAAAAGACTTCTAAAAGACCATGCCAAGTTGATAGGAATGGAGGGAAGGACAAAGAGAAGAACTCTGCATAATTCTGGTCAAAATAACATGACTGTCTAATAATTTCTTGTTGTTTGACATGGAAGTGATTTGCTTCCAGGTGAATCAATTTCCTCATAGTCTATTTAATGTCCCAGATGTTTCTCTCATGCCTCCCTTCCCAGTCTCCTTTTCCCTTCATTCATGTTATCAGAGTATCTGTCACTCTAACATGCGTCAGCTCAAGTTTTAGCCAGGGCAAAGGGCAAAAATCTTATTGCTCAGAATTGTGTCATATTCCATACCTGGCTATAGGAGAGATTTGTGAATTCTAGTATTTCACTTTTAACCATCATGATTTATAAAGAAAGGAAGAAGGAAACTGAAATAGATACTAAATGAGACTCATTCAGCATCTTCCACACTGCCTTCATAAATGTCTGAAGATTAACTGAATAAAAAAATTTTAAAAAACCTTCAACCAAACCATTTTTATCCTAGGAATACAAATATAGTATATTAGAAAAAAATAGTGTAACTTACCTCATAAAAGTAAGGCAAATAAAGTTATGTGATTCCTTCAATAGCTACAGAAAATGCTTTTAAGATAATATAAACCCATTCATAGTAAAATAATAATAGAAAGAAATATCCTTAATCTAAGAATAAAAATCAGCAACATTTCTAAAAGCAACATCATATTTCATGGTAATTTCTAGTTACATTCTCATTAAAGTAGAAAAGGTATAGTATGCACACTATTCCTGATTCTATCAGGCGTTATACTGGAAGAAAGACCTTACTAGTGTAGTGAAACAAGAAAAAGTATTATAAAGTTTGTAAATCAATTCCAAACTGTCATTATTGATAGATGATGTAATTATCAACATACAAAAATCCAAGAGAATTTACAAACCATTAAGGTTCAGCAAGTTATTGGGATACTAGATTGAAATACAAAAATCAATCACTTTCTATACACCAGAACAAAATAAGCAGCAATAGTAAAATTTTAATATCATATTTTTCACAAATAATAAGTACTAGATGTGACTGAGAACCAAACCTACAATGTATATGCAATACATTGTGGAAAAAATCATAGTACGGTATCAAAGACAGTATGGAAGCCCTGAATAAGTAAGCAGAGAAGCGTCCGTTGTTCATAGATAGGAAGCCTCAATCTCATCAAGAGATCATCTTCCAAAATGAATCCATAAAGGCAGTACAAATCCAATCAAAATACAAAAATATTCTTTATACACTTTGACAACTTGATTCTATAATTCATATGAAAACCAAAAAGCCAAAAATAGTCAAAACCTGAAGAAGAACATATTTAGATCCTGAGCTGTGATTAATACAGAATAGAATTGGTGGAGGGCTAACCAAGTCTGTCAATGAGACTTGGTTACCAGAGATCCCACTATAACAACAAGGGTTAGGGTTTACAATTTTTAAAAACTTAATAATATATCAGAGCTAGTACTAAAAATCATGGGGATAGAAGCAACTAGTCAATAAGTGGCTTGGACTAAGTACTTATTAGAAAACAGTAAAAATTAGATCCTTATTAAATAGCATCTAAAAAATTTTGAGATGAAACAAATCAGAAAAGCAAACATTAAAATTTTAAGACAAAAATATAGAAAATTATATTTGTGACCATAGCTAGGGAAAGATTTTGAAATATACCAAAAGGAAAAACAGAATTTTAAAACCTTCATACATCAAGATACTTTTAACAAAAAGAAAATACAAATCACTTGAAAGAAGTATTTGACTTGCAACTGGCAAAAGATTGGTATTTAGAATATATAAAGAATTCATAGCAGCTTGGCATAGTGGTGCACACCTGCAATCCAAGCTACTTGAGAGGATGAAGCGGGAGGAACATAAACTCAAGGCCAGCCTGGGCAACTTTGCAAAACCTTGCCTCAAAATAAAAAATAAAAAGGGACGTAGCTCAAGGATAAAGCACCATTGCCACTAGGTTCAATTCCCAGCACGAAAGAAAGACATAAAGAAAGAAAGGAAGAGAGAGAGGAAGGAAGGAAGGGGAAAAAAAAGAATTTATACCAAAAAATAAAAAGGAAAAGGTCCAAGGTTTAAAGTGAAACAATTCTCTGAGACAAAAGTCTGAACAGCCAATAAAAAAATAAAAATATGACAGTATATTCAATTCTTCTTGAATTTAAGATAATGCAAAATAAAGTAACACTGAAATACAATTTCACTCCCATATAGATTAGCGAAACCACTACAGCCTGCAAAATATTGGTATGAAAAAATTATGAATAAATACATGTGCATTGATAAGATAAAAAGAGGCATAGCAATGATAAGTACAGACTTCAGGATAGTCATGTTTTCTAGAAATGGTGTCAGGGTGGGTTTTATTGTATTTGTTAGATTTTATTTCTTTTTAAAAATATTTTTAGTTATAGATGGACACAATACCTTTATTTTGTTTATTTAGTATTTTTTTTAATGTGGTACTGGTGATCGAATCCAGTGCCTCATGCATGCCACGCAAGTGCTCTACCAACTGAGCCACAACCCCAGTCCCAGATTTTCTTAATGAAAAATTATCTGAAGCAAACACAGCAAGGTATTAGGATCCTGAAAAGCTGTGTGGTATGTACACAGGTTGTAAAGGAGAGAGAGAGAGAGAGTTTTTACCTCTACTCTCTTAGGGATTTCCTACTGGGCCTTAGAATTAAACTGACATGAGAAGGATCAACGGGAGAAAAGTACACAAGTATATTTAGTAGGAGTTCTACATGGCACAGGAGCCCTCACGAGGAAATGAGAACTCACTGGCACAGTGAGAGTTGAACACTGATGTACCTGACTGGATGAGGGGTGGGTGAGGGGTGACAAGGCAAAGGGGCTTGAGCTAATGTGGTTAATTGGGTAGAGAAGTGACAAGGTAGATAAGGGTTAAACAAGATTTGTTTGCATGGATTTCTTCTCTCATCTCAACTTTCTGTCCTTGAATGACAAGAATAATACTTTCCTTCTGGTTACAGGGAGGACATCTTTTACAAGGGAATTTTTATCTCCTGTTTTTAGGAAACAAAAGGAAGGTCAAAGAGACCTTGTTACACTTACTATTTTTTATGTGCCCTTAATTCAAAATGGTCAATGTGCTACAGCAATATATTTTGAGATGATATGGTCTTAATTTTATTAGCAGTTACAGTGATACCATACTTTATGCTTTTTTTTTTTTGATACTGGAGATTTAACCCAGGAGTACTTTACCACTGAGCCTCATCCACAGCTGTTTTTATTCTGAGACAGGGTCTCACTAAGTTGCTTAGGGCCTCCCTAAGCTACTGAGGCTGCCTTAAACTTGCAATCCTCTTGTCTTAGCCTCCTGAGCCACTGAGATTACAGGTGTGCACCACAGCACTTGGCACTATACACTTTTTTATATGTTTAAAGGATTCCATAGTCTTAAAAGGAGAAAAAAAATGCAGGCATAGATACTCAATATTTGTCTGGTGACAGGATTAGTGTTAGGGATATGGACAGTGACCCAAATGATCTAGTCCTTAATAAATGAGGATGCATAAATGAATACCTTCAACCAAGAAGCATGGATGACAGCAACAAAGAGGGCTATCAGACATCTTCCTCCAGGTGCATGAGCTTCACAGGGCCTGGATGGAAGGAGAAGGCAGCCTGGTTTCAGCTTTAAATTTAAATACCATCCTTTTTTTATTATTATTATTTATATAAGTTTCCCCAGTCCAGTTAATTGTCAAAGTTCTTTTCATAGGCATTAATCAACTCTGCTCACTCAAGACCCAAAAAGAGAGATCTCTGTTGACCAAGAATTTTGCTCATAGCCATGGGGCATGGCAGTGCTTCTAAAACCGCGGTTGATGGCGCAGCAGCCTGATATTTCCAACCTGAGTCAGCGGTTAAGGGACATCCTGTGGCAATGCTGCAAGAAAAAGGAAATTGGATTCTGTTCTTGTGGATTAATTCCAAGGGAGACACGGAAATCCTCTCTGAGAGGGAATGAATCTGAGCCAATCTAATCATCAAACACAGCCATTCTCAGCAGAGGCCAATGTAGCTCCAAGACCCAGCAGGAGAGCTCCTTTACAGCAGAGCACCCCCCCAAATCTGAATTTGGTATTGCCTAGCAACATCTTGCCAAGACATGTTTATGCTTCTAGTATTTTAGCTACATTATAAATGGTACCCCCATACATCAGTTTAAATTGCATTTCTTATTTACTGGGGTGGAAGATACCAATACTGATCTGTACGGAAAATCCTGGAACAAAGAATGACCTCATCAGCAAAGTAGTTTTAAGCTTTTCTTGCAATGCTTTATGGGTGTGTCCAGCTAGCAGGGCAATGACAGCCAAAGAGACAAAAGAATTATAGCATCTCAAGTAAGTAGAGATGTTGCACTATCCAGAGAAAACGACCATTCATCAAAGGTGTAATGAATTTCAGGATCATTAACATTGTTTTACTCAAGATTTGGGAAAGACTTAGGCACAACCCTTAGTCTAAAGAAAATATCAGCTCAAAGGACCAATCATTACAACATGGTTTCAGCCTCTGAGATCTGGGGGGAGGGGAGATTAACGTGAGCCATTTTAAGAAAATCAATAATTAAATAACTGCAAATTTGGATTTCTCAATATGATTTAAAACCTTTGTAGATGGGCTTTTAGAAGATATTCAAGGGAAGAGAATTAGGGACAAGAGAGCGGGAGAGAGAGGGATATGGATAAGAACTCGCCCTAGCCAAGAAGAGTTGGCCAGGCTTGTCATCAAAAAATTGGAATCTGGTGTAGAAAACAGAATCCAAGAAAACACACAAGCATATAATGGTTTGGGGAGGTGATAAGATCTTTTTTGTGCTCACTTCAGCAGCACATGTACTAAAATTGGAACGATACAGAGAAGATTAGCATGGTCTCTGTGCAAGGATGATATGCAAATTCAAAAAAGCATTCCATATATTCTTTTTAAATCTTCAAATTCACTCTTACCAAATTTTGTAGGGTGATTAAAATATATTAAATAAAGAATGAGTAACCAAAAAAAGTCAATAATTCTGTGTAGCTTTATAATCTGAAACTAGAATCCATATAAAAGAGCAAAAGACCACGAACAAGTCAATACAAATTTTAAGTCAAACAAGTAAATTTTCCACTCATATTTGTCAAGACTTATTTAAAAGTTATGTTAAAGAGACTGTGAGATTTCTTGAAGGTTAGGCTAACAAACGAATATAAGAAAATACAAAATGCAAACCTTGTCCATGCGATGGTGGAAACTTGAAACATACAAAGGTGGTACTGCATTCCAATCTGGAGGAAAGGATGAATTTGTTCAACAAATATTATTAGAACAAGTAATTACCAAAGCATTAAAAAATAGACTCTTGGGCTGGGAAGATAGCTCAATTGGTACAGTGCTTGCCTTGCACGCACAAGGCCCTGGGTTCAATCCCCAGCACCACTAAATAAATAAATAAATATAGACTTCTCTATCTCGCATCACCTGCAAAAATAAATTCCAGGTCAATTATGTGAGCTGGGCATTGTAGTGCATGCCTGTAATCCCAGCAATTTAGGAGGCTGAGGCAGGAGGCTCACAAATCAAGGCCCTAAGCAACTAAATGAAACCCTTTCTCAAACTAAAAAAGGCTGGAGATGAGGCTCAGTGGTAAAGAGCCCCTGGGTTCAATCATCAGTACTAAAAATATATAAATAAATGAAGAACTAAACATGAAGGATAAAATTTGTAGAAGAAATTATAGACTCTCTTTATCATTTCACAGCAAGAGAGAATTTCTTCAAATAAAAACATACAAAGAAAAATTACATACTCTTTAAAAAAGATAAATTTGGCCATATTAAAATTTAAGACTTTAACAAATAAAAAAGACTGGAAGAAGATATAATCCCTATATTATTAACCAAATTAAATGTTAAGTATTTAAAGTCAACTAAATATTTAAAATCTTATACGTCAATAAGAAAAAGGGAGGAAAGCAAAAAGATAGACAACACAAATAAGCAGATCCTTCAGAGAAGAGAAAATCCACATGGCTTATTAAACATATTCAAACATACCTATCCTGTCTATTAATCTGGAAAATTTAAAAATAATATTTCCTTTGTCATCCAGATTGAAAATTTTAAAGCTGGTAAGTGCTAAGTGTTGGCAAACATGTTGAGAAACAAGAGTTGTCACATCTTGCTGGAGTATACCTACTTTACAGAACAATTTGGCAACATCTAATAAAGATGAAGATGCCCAGTCAATCTGCTTCTAATATGCACTAGTAGTTTTGGTGCAGCAATGTATGTAATAGCAGAATTGGAAATAACCTAAGTGTCCATCAACAAGAGAATGAGTGAATGAATTGCGGTTTATTAACCCACCGTCAAAATGAAAGAACTCGAGCTGCACGATCCAGATGAGTGAATCCTGAAAATATAATAATAAGTGAAAAAATCATTTGAAAACATATATCCATACTTGCTTATTTTTACATACAAAATTACCATGAAATTTTAAAATAAAAACAGATTTCTTTTATTTTCTTTTTAAAGACCTGTAAAAATGGGCAAAATGTTAAAACAGGATTACAGCATTACCCTGATGTCAAAGCACAGGGTTAAAGAATAATCTCCCCTCAAAAAATGGTGCTGGGGACACTGGATATCCACATGCATGAGAATAAAGTTGAACACTTACCTAACACCATATACAAAAAATACACGGAAGGTATCAAATGTAAGGTACCTAATATAAGTAAGGCCCAAATCATAAAACTCTAAGAATAAACAGGACAAAAATCTTGACAACATTGAATTTGGCAATGACTGCTTGAAAATGACACCAAAGGTTGAAAGAAAATAGAACAATTGTACTTCAGGAAATTTTTGAACTTTTATGTGTTAAAAGATAATAGCGACAATAAAAAAGGTAGCCCTCAGAGTGGGAGAAAATATTTGCAATCATATAACTGATAAGGGATTAGGATCCAGAATATATACAGAACTCCTAAAACTCAACACCAAAAAACCCAATAGGCAAAGGACTTGAATAAACATTTCTCCAAAGACAAATAAATAAGTGGCCAATAAGCACATGAAAAGATGTTCAACATCATTAATTATTAGGGAATGCAAATCAAAACTACAAAGAGATACCACTTCACATCCTTTAGGATGACTGCTACAAAAAAAAAAATCAAAACACCAGAAAACAACAAGTGTTGGCAAGGATACAGAGAAACTGGTCTATTTATGTGTTATTCATAGGAATGTAAAATGGCACAGCTGCTGTGGAAAACAGTATAACAGTTCCTCAAGAAATTAAAAAATAAAACTACCACATGAGCAAGAAATTTCACTTCTGGTATATACCCAAAAGATTTGAAAAACAGAGTCATTTGTACTCCTGTGCTTATTAGCAACATTATTTACAATAGCTAAAACATGAAAGCAACACAAATATCTACCTACAGATGAATAGATAAGCAAAATGTAGTACATCGTGTTAGGTAAGGGTTCAACTTTATTCTCATATATACACAATGGATTATTATTTAGCCTTTAACAAGAAAGAAAAATTTGACACATGCTACAATATGAATAAATGAACCTTGAGAACATTATGCTAAGTGAAATAAGCCAGTTTTCTCTCTCTCTCTCTCTCTCTCTCTCTCTCTCTCTCTCTCTCACACACACACACACACACACACACACACACACACACCATATAAATCCACTTATATGAGGTACTTAGAGAAGTCAAAACCATAAAGACAAATAGTTGAATGGTGGTTGCCAGAAGTTGAGAGGAGGGAGTAGTTATTGTTCAACAGATACAGAATTTGTTTGATAAGGTGCAAAGTGATATGGAGATGGGTAATGGTGATGGCTGCACAGACTATGAATGTATCTGATACCACTGAATTACAGACTTAAAAAAAGCATAAGATTGTAGAGGTTGGGTGCATTGCAACACAACAAAAAAAAAATTGGAAAAGAAAACTTAAGGGAGATGGGCAACATGCTACAGTTAGTAGTCAGGAAGATCACTCTGAGAAGGTGATGACGGAGTGCAGACGTAAACGAGTCCATGAATCCAATGATGATTAGAAACATTTTCTTCTATATGAAGAAAACAACGAATTTTCTACAAACATAAAAGAAGACATGAATATCTGGAGAGACATTCCATATTCCTAAATTAGCACTATAAATAAATTATTTTTCTCAAAATTAATTGACAAAATAATCCTAAGACACATTTGAAACATAATTAAGAAAGAATAACCAATAATATATTGAAAAAGAATGGCACTACAGATAAGTTGCCTACTAAATGTTAGCAAATTTTATAAATCCATGGAAAATCCACTGTTCAAGAATAGACAAATTGATAGAAAAAAAAAATTCAGAAGTATACCTATAGAAAATAGGTGACATTTCATATCAATGAGGAGAAAAATGGATCATTTAAGTGTTGTTGATACAATTGGACAATCATTTTCTTTTTCATTTTTTTTTTAGTTATAGGTGGACACAATACCTTTACTGTATTTTTATTTGGTGCTGAGGATTGAACCCAGTGCCTCATTCATGCTAGGCAAGCACTCTACCTCTGAGCCACAACCCAGCGCTGGGCAATCATCTTCTAAAACTTAGATTCCTAACTCATGCCTCACACCAAAATTACAAATAATAGAAAATAACCATCTTGGAATCTAGATATAAAAAAAAACTAGAATATCATCAGTTCTCAAAAACTATATAGCAAATGATCAATAAATTAATGAGACATAGAGCTCCTTACAAAAGAAATGAAAGAAGTTCTCTTGTATTTTACTATTTGTTTGATTCATCATTTGTCCATTTAAGCCAATTATATTGAGCACTTGCTTGGTGCCAGTATCATCCCAAAGTGTAGTAATAATGGAAGGCTCAGCATGTCCTGAGATGTCAATCACGTTTCTCCACAGTAAGAGCTCTATCCAGGTGCAACTTGTGGGTAGATCCTCTTTTACTTACAAGGTATTCCACATCCTCTAAGTCTCAGTTATTTGTTCCCTGCATTTGCAGAGCCCACATGTCATCTGCTGGTATAGTATTATTAGAAAAGTGTGACTTTTCTATCTCATCATCCTCAGGAGCACAAGCCCTTTCCCACCCTAGAATCAGAAGACAAAAAAAACAGGCTCAGAGATAGGGAAGCCCATGAGACTAAGGCACTCAGAGGAAAAGCAACATCCAGGTCAAAGCATGACTGTGGACCATGTGAAACTCTCCACCTGGGCCTCCAAGGCACTTCTTCGAGAGTCAGATGGGTCCTGCTGGTGCCTCAAGGCTGGCTTTCATCAAATACTGCAGCAGCTGGAAATTTCTCTTTATGGACACTTTCACAGGAATAAAATTAGCAACCCAAACATATATTTTCATCTCCTACTTATTAAATAAACATTGTTTTTGTGTTTTCAAAGCCATTTGACAGTCAAAAAAAATCCTTTAATAAAGTTCATGGAGGAGAATTGAAAAATTGGTATTGGAGGTCTCCCAAAACAATCACAATAAAATAAGGAATGATTCATTCTATGTAAAAATCAGTTTATTAAACCTATATTCATCTCACAACAAAATTGGAAGTTAGTAATTAAGATGTCTGATTCAACAGATAATATCCATTAATTTTTAAAATGTTTGTTCACTTTTTATTTGATTTATAATTTAATACCCACCCATCCATCCTATCCATACAACCCATATGGAAAAAAAAATGAGTGTAAAACGCTGGCAACATAAGAAAATAATACTCTTGGTCATATTGATAGCTCAAATGATTTGCCAATATTTATAGCTCTCATAATGGCAGCCTGTGATTTGAAATCTTACAAAAACAGGAAGCTTTGTGCCTTATGACATGCCTAGAATTCATAAGAAAACTGTGATCTGTTGCTGCCGCCAGC